GGGGAGCTAAGAAGCGCACCCAGCGGGCCAGACGATCGGTACTCGAGTATATCGGGTTGCGGGCTAGAGAACCCTAGCCCTGGGGGGTGCGCGTTCGCAGGGAAAGGGCCGTAAAGTAAACACGGGTCTCCGAGGGTTGGCTCCGTGACCGTGTACCGGGTTTCCCCTTAACTTCAGAACGCCCCCTCTGGTCGGAGCTAGTAGAACGCCGCTGCTCACCACGCACGAACACAGGTCCTCACGGAGAAGGGAGCGGCCTTGGCGGCGGAGAAGATGACGGCGGAAGACAAGGTGGTGGTGGAGAGGGCGGCGGCGGCGACGGGGGAGGCGGAGAGGGTGGCGGCGGAGAGGGCGATGGCGGAGAGGGCGGCGGCGGAGATGGTGGTGGCGGAGAGGGAGGCGGAGGTGAGGGCGGAGGGCTTGGTGGAGGTGGAGAGGGCAGTGGTGGGGGTGGGGGTGGCGGAGAGGGTGGTTTTTATTTATTTATTTATTTGCGCGCCGCCTACTTCGTGCGAGTCGTGGGTGACCCCCACGACCACGGCATCAAAGAATGGAAAAGTAGACCATAGTCGGATGGGCACGAACCCGCGCAGCGCCGGCTTTGAGCCACGCGCCTCGATCTTCAGAGGCGCGTGCGCTGCCCCTTCCGGCAAGGACGACGACATCGAGGGGATGTCCATTGTTGCTCGATGGCGTCATCCATTTCGGAGTCATTCGATGGCCAGACTCTGCGATTGTGTGTGTGCGGGAGTTGGTTTGTCGGGAGGGAGGGGCAGGCTGCTCACCCACGTGCACCGGGCCAGTGCTTGCTGCTTGCACTTTGAAATGCCGTGGGGCTCCCTGCCCCGCTGCTCGCTGACGGCTCGTCATTTTTCATTTCTCGCATGTCGCATGACACTTGACACGGCAAAGTGACTAGGGAAGCGACCAGTCGGATGTCGGTGGAATTCAGCAGACACGCAACGAGCGTAGATTCTAGGCAACGTCCAACGAGCAGACCCTGAGAAGAGGAGGAAAGGAGGCGGGTTGGTGGCGAGGGGGGGACAGTCGCCGCAACAGGCGAGCGCATCCCGAGCCGGGGCTGCACCTGCGGGTCGGCCTCCCCCGACACGGACTCTGCCACAAAGGACACGAGACAGCCCGGTGAGGTTCGTACCGGCAGCAGACAGGGTGAGACAACGACGGGATGCGATCCGAGAAGCCGAGAGGGACCAAGAGGCCGCGGTGGCGGGCGAGAAGGCGATCCTGGCGGAACTTAGGGCGATCGGTTTGTCGTTCGCGGCCAGCACCGGCGTGCTCAGGCCAGTACAGGCACGAGAGGTGCGGGGCCTGGCTAAACGACTGGTTGGCTCGACGGACCTCCTTGGACAGGTTTTCCGGTGGGAAGGGGAGGACTACCTCGTCAACGACATCGCACCGGGGCCGACACAGTCGGGGGGGCAGGCGCTGAAGGCGTACGCCTGCTGTGTGAAGAGGCGGGTGGCATCGGCGGGCCCGCTGTCTGAACACAACTCGGCCTTTGATATCCGGGCGGTGCGGGACCGAATCGAGAAGGACCGGGCGAGGGGGGAGGCGACCCGACTCCTGGGCAATTTACGGCCTGATGCTGAGCGGGAGGGGGGAGAAGCGGGGCCGTCGGCGAATCCGGGCCCTGCCCCCCCCCCCCCATAGGGAACAATACACTTCCGGCCCCCTACAACCTCGCCGACGATCTCCCAACCAGCCAAAATGCCCTAATCCAGGAGGCCTGTCAGGTGCTAATCGTCACCCCTCCCCCGCTCCAGACCATCGAAGAGGCGAAACTGTCGCCCATGGCGCGCGGCTTTTTCGCGGAGAATCGCCGGGTCGCGAATGGCAAGGCTAAGCGCGTCCTCGGCTGGGAGCCGAGATATCCTACATTTCGCGAGGGGCTGGCCGCGCTTACGGT